ATTGAATTAATCTAATTAGGCAAGGGTTTATGTATAATAAATTTTTAAACGTCTGGAAAATATAGCTAGAAATGAAAGCATGAAAATATTATATTACACGTCTAGTTTTCTCGCTTAATGGAAGTGATGAGTTGGCCCGGTGCCATTTTGCTATTATATAGGTATATGTTCAGACGCTTTACTTTTATTTTTTTGACGAAAATCTTACACACAAATTTCATGCCCTTCTATTATAGAATAGAGTGACAAACGAGCACTCAGTCCACCTGATGTTAAGTGGTTCTCTTAATCTTTTCATTTTTTATCAAAAACTTGTACAATATCTATTATCATTATTAAAACAAAACACATAATTATAAATACCTACTCATAGCTCCTCCTACCTAATCCTATTCCTAGCGGTATAGTGTCAAGAACGCGGTACGCGTTTCTTCAATAATTGTTTTTTTTTATGGAATTTTATTTATTTTCTGAACTATATACATTCTAAAACACAGGCTGTACATAACATGATTATAAAAAATGGTTTTTATTATTTGATCATCATTGCAATTCAAGCTTCAATATTATATTTTTTGTCTATTAGAACCTTTCACTTATAATTCCGTAGTTTGTCAGTCCCATGAATACGCGCCGGACCCTAATTGTAGCTTTTTAAAATGGCCACCAATTTGCCACCTGTTTGCCATCGGATGCAAAAATGTTTCTGGCGTTTTTTCTTTAGTAAATTTCTTACATCTTTAGGAAAACGTCATATTCTATCGCGTCGCTCTCAGGCAGCTACAGTCACAATGCACTTCTAAAATATACTCCATTAATAAATAACTTACAAGCAATTTCTTTGTTATAAATTAAAATAAAGATAAAATTAAATTTTGATAAATATTAAATACACGCAATTTATTGCAGTACTACAGTAGTATAGTACTTTTCAATCTCGTTTTCTGATTTCTAGAGAGAGATATGATTTTACATAGAGAGCAGTGTATTGTAGAAATAATGTTGTGTACATATTAGTATTGTGCTAATTACCTTTATTACAATATTGCTCAATTTCTAGAGGATGTAAACATTAGCACTGACACAAGATGAATTAAATGTTCACTGCAAACGAGGACTATTGTCTTAAAGGACGACTCATTAAACTAATCTATTTCGATTCACAACAGGGGATGTAGCTCAGAGACACGCTTTCGTGATAGACGTGACAAATATAAATGTGACGAATTGAGTTATTAAGCATAGATTTCTATTTTATTAACTTTGAAATTTTCGATAGTTAAAAAATCTGAAAATGTATATAAGTTGAATAGGAAAATTGAACTTATATACATTATAACTATTTTCATTTTTTATTGTTGAAAACGATACACATATTCTAACTTAAAACAAGCCTGAAAATATATTTTGTCACTTGATATCCTTGAATTTATTTTGTTTGTACATTTTAAGCTTGAGCAATGCTTATAAATATGTTTTTTACAATGTATTGATAGAATTCAAACAACAACGTATAAATGGTATACTTTTCTTCGTTACGATTGTATTTATTGAGCATAGATTTCTATTTCGTTAACTTTGAATTTCTCTATTAGTTTAAAATCTTAAAATGTATATACTCGTAAGTTGAGTATTTCCTCTTTCATTATTTTTTACTTAATATTTATTTAACTTGTCTTATCTCTCTCCTAAGCAAAGTTATTCAATAACATATACATAAGTCTCTTAAAATATTAACAGCCCGAAAATATCACGTAGACACAAAAATACTCTTCTAACCTCCTCGCATTTATTTTAATGCTCATGCACGAGAAAGTTTCGGAAAATATCAAAGATTCTTGTATATACCTAATGCTTACCATTTATTCCTATGTTTCCATCACTAATTTTACAATTATGAGGACCTGAAAGGACATGCTTTGTGAAGGCCGAACGATAGGTTCGGCAAGGCAAGTTCTGTTTTTCATCCCCTTCTTGAAAACTCCTTTTGTTAAGTGGATGCTATGAGTTATTAGACATCTACCTAATTCTCAGACAGACAGAGATAATGCCTCGTTAACTTTAAGAATGGACTCCGATTCTCGTCACGGAAACAATATAAAAGTCAAAAATCTTAAGAAGATGAAGGTGACCTGGTAAGCAACGTAGAAATTCGCCGCTGCTAAAATTTGGAACGATTTGCCATAACGAACCAGGTCTACCCTATTTCTGTTTACGTTTCGACAAAGATGCCGCAAGTGGCTGTTTAATAGTAGCCCCTGGCTCTATGTGGCTCTGATACCCCTTTAAATATATTTTTTTAGGAGCTATTATTTATTTATTGTTTTTATTTTTTAATCCGTGTGTTTCTTTATTTGCCTAAGACCCTGTATAGTTAATGCGCAAAGGCTGTGACAGAATGGCAGGAGTAATGCGTTTTCATTTACAACCGTTTTGTCTCATTTAATTATTATGCTGTCTATTATAATTTTAACATTGTATATTTGTGGAAAATAAATACTTCTTATTTATTTATTTGAATCAATGAATGCTGATGGCTTGGGACCGTGTTTTGTGGCATATCTTAGCAGAGGCCTAAGGTTAGAGCTGAACTTGTGAAGCGCTATTAAGATAATGATGATGATAAATGTAAAAATAGGTAACTCACAACGTAAAAACTCGATACTACGTGTTTTACCCTAACTGTAATGAAAATTCCACAGAAAGAAAAATGATATTAAGCCGAGCTGCCTTTCAATTTATTTGAGGTCGACATCGAGGTCAAGGAAAGACTTACCATACTGTAAAAATGCAGTTTAAAAGTAATATTATTAAATTGTTTTCAGAAAAATAAAGTTATATCTGTAATAAAAAATAAAAGAAATAACGTAATCTTGTCCCTTTATCTTTATGAACCTTGCATTAAATCCTAGGTGTTTTCTATTACTATCCACTCATCTATTTCAGGTATGAAGGGTATGTGATAGCTATTATTAGATATTATTGATGGCCAATTTTTATAAGATAAAATAAACCGGGCGACGACTGGTGACCGGCAATAGGAAGGAGTAAAATATGTACTACGATGGTCAATCTTTTAATTTTTTTATACTTCTATTATAAGCTATAGCTTGACTATCATCTCTCCTGATTATAAGTAAAATATGTACTACGATGGTCAATCTTTTAATTTTTTTATACTTCTATTATAAGCTATAACTTGACTATCATCTCTCCTGATTATAAGTGGTGCTTTAGTAGAATACAGTAAAGCGCGTTAGTAAACATTATAATAACAAGAAATCCTACAATAAGCAAGGTAAATATTGTACATGCTAATGAGAGTAAGCGTGAGAACACTCTAGATGGATAATTTTACCATAATCTTCATTAACAATATTTAGAACCGTAGAGCATGTATGAAGGGAATAATGAAAGTAGACGAAGCGAAACAAGTATGTAAGGATCGTAGCAAGTGGAAAGAAGTGGTCTCTGCCTACCCCTACGGGAAAGAGACGTGATTATATGTATGTATGTATATGTAGAAGATGAGACTGATATTTCATCCAACATTGGACTATGTATCAACCACTCAATAAAATCCATATAATGTCAAATAAAAGTATGTTATATTTATTTTCGTGGATCGTCCAAATAATCTAAAAATAATGTTTATAAAAAACATACATTTCTTAGTTAACTGCCTTGTAGGTCTAGTGGTCATAAGCGACTTTTGTAATAAGCTGAGATTTCTGTATTCGCAAGATACACTCAGGAGCAGCCCACAGCGAGGAAGTCATCGATGTTTCACCCCAGTGCTTCGGAAAGCACGTTACGCAGTTGGTGTCAAAGATTTAAATCTAGTTTCCATTTAACCGGTCAGCGTAAACGAAATTCTGTTTTGAGGAGTATTGTACTTCTTAAATGCATAACTTCTCCCATTTCCATTAAAATAAGTAGTTCGTTAAATAAGTGCTATATACATAACATAAAAAATTTATCAGTTTTATTCATTAGTGTTTTTTTCTTAATGTTATTGTGTTTTTCCTCACGTATTATTACGGTTTAAAAGTAATAAATTGACAGTAAAGCTCAACCCCGTCCGCTTCGCGTTTATGGTGTGCAAAATAAATATGAACAAATTAAACTTGTTCATTTAGTATTTTGACGTGACAAAGCACTGTCAACCACGAACAAAGCGTTAGGAATAATATTATAAATAACATTTAGATTGCATTTAGCAGAAGAACGTTTGAATTCACTACAACTGTTTTCTTCATTTTGGTTTTATGTACATATAAATTATATTTTGGAATTAGATATGCAGTTTAGTTGATTTTTTTGTAAAAGTGTATAGGAAACAATAACGCCATGCCATGTGGTAGTTGCGTAAGAACCCATCAACCCGTTTCGTCTCGTCTAGAACTTATATGATATAAGTTCGGTTTACGTTAAAAAATACAGATTCGATACACGTAATATTAATTATTGAGCTTATGCGTCATTTGTTTACAGACGATGTGATTTTTTTTATAATTTCAGCATACAGTCCACCTGATGGTAAGTGGTTGCTGTGGCCATAGACATCTACATCTATCCACGATTACGAATCGAAATGCAAATGCGTTGTCGCATCTGCATTTTGATTAGACCCGTGACGATTAAGATGGAATAACTCGTTTCCAGTAAAATGGGTCTTTTTATCATGCAAGATAAAGAAGTTCTCATACAAAAATTATAAATATATATGTATATATTACATATGTATATATTCATTATACATGTATAGACGGACAAAGAGAGTTAAAATTTATGTCTTCAAATATCGGCCCAATATGTTTTATAAATTGAAAGTCCATAACAAATTGTCGTATTTACTATTGAATGAGGTGGTAAAGATAAACAAATACTATGGGCCATAGATATATCTATCTTCGATTAAGAATTGAAGTATATTTTCACTATTGCCCCTGTGGACAATAATAGAACGCCGCGTTACAAGTGAAAAATATTTTTATTTATTACGATATACGTATAATTTTGCACTCCTCATCATTATAGCATTCGGCGCAGTCGGAGCTATTAAATAATCTATAGTTTTCTAACATACAAGTCACGGGACTGCTACTGAACCGACGTATATTTGATACAAGACACGCAAGTAGGCACATAGCACCTTCAACGTAGAATCCGTAGATGATGCGGACGTAGCCTGTGACCTGAAAACGAACATAAGGTAATTAATTACTTCAACACTTCAAGCGCAAACTCCACACGTTATAAGATTCGCAATAACGCATGTCTGTAGATTAAGTATTTATGTTATAACTTAGTAATTTTATAGAATACTTTTTATAGAATAAGGGTGCAGGAAAAACGAGCACACAGGTAAGTGGATGCTATGCCCGTATGCATCCAATCAGGACATCCATCTGACAGGAAAACTGAAATAGGACATACGCAGCAACATTTTCCTGGCAACAGTACGAAATAAATAAAAATTGCCATTTCGCCTGCCAAGCATGGCAACTATTATATAAGTTATTACGTATTTAATATAAGGCAGTCTTTGGGACCTAAGTTAAGCATTGAATTTTTTGTAGGCTGTATTGAATGAATGAACGAATGGAGAAAAATATAAAGACTAACTTGTTTAACATCACAGTCAAATAGCCAAAACTAAAATAATCCTAGTACTAACGCCAGCAGTATTATCATTATTAATGTAAGCTATTTTTTTTTTCGAAATTGTAAAATAAAAATCCGAAACACCCAAATAACATCAAACTAATTCCAATCCTACAAAAACATACAAGCGTCTTATCAAACTAATTTCGAATTATATAAGAAATGCTGACAGTTTGTAATACAAAATTTAGCGTGCACGGAAAGTACGATTAATAATAATTCAAAAAGTTTCAAAACGTTTCAAAACATAACACAGAAGTAAGACAAGGAAGCGATTAGCTATCGACTATTTTCTCGCTCAAGAAACGAACAATAGATATAGGTCTCGTGTCAATAAAAGAGATACTTAAATTAATAGATGTTTGCTGGCTATTCACACTGCCGGTGAAAACACTCTTGTTGCAGCTACAAAAGCTATCAAAGAAAAAACTTGCGCAGCGATGACCAACCTGCGGTCATTTTACCCTACAGTGCAGATCTGAGGCACTCGCTTATAGCTCAGCAACAAAAGTATCGGAAAAACACACTCCCTTTTCGCTGTGCGCCAACTCATATCTAATTTCTAGCTCTACTCGCTTCTCGTTCACCATTGGCAGTAGGACAAGTGCCTAAAGCACTACTGACAAGTCAACTACCACTAACTGCAATGTTTCCAATTTGCAATTTAAAATTGTCTTAAAATGTCGTGCAAGAATTATAATTTCTAGTTATCAACTTAAAGTCTACTACTATTCGACGAATTATTTTATTTCTAGTTATCAACTTAAAGTCACTAGATTTAAGAGATGCAGAAAGTTGATGGATTCAGTTGGCTCAGGGCCATGATGGACTATAGCGATTATGATGATGATGATGATGATGATGGTGGTGGTGATAATAACAATTTTTAATTCTTAATTTACTTGGTAATTTCTCATCGTACCTACATGTTGATTTGGGAAAACATAGTAAGAAAACCTGCATGCTTGTAAAATTAAATATAGTTTTAAGAACATATTATTGTTATATTGTAAAATATTAAATTAGGAATACTTTACTATACTTTTATTCCTTTTTTTCACACGACTGAATTATATACTTACCTACAACTATAACAACGCTATGTTTTATCACAACTTTTAATTCCACTAATTACCAATTAGTAATAAGACTTGACGTCTGCATTACTCCGTCGGATTATTTACAGTTTTTTCTTTTACTATCATCTATTATTATTATCCTGCAATCATCGACTTCCTGCATGTCCAGGTCAGGCCAGGTCGTGACTTCATCTAGTGGGGGGCGAGCATACACTTTGCCTACCGGTACAAGGCTGCCACTATTTTCAAAAACCAGATATTTGTATAACCTTACATTTTCCAAACCTCCAGTAGTTGTGAACTCGAGCGGGAACATAACAATTTCTAACGGCGTTCTATTCCGTAGTACGCCGAAACCCACCACGCCAAATACGTAGTATATCGCCATTGACAATAAAATGCAGTGATCTGAGCAGAATATTCCCAACATCACCTGGAGATTAATTCAATTTTAATCTCTTTAAAGTTAAATCTATACATTTATACAGTCTTCCTAACTGTCCGACTTAATATCGCTGGGAAAGTCAGACAAGTATAAACATTTTCAATAGTATATTTCATTACGAGTGCGGAAAGCCTGTCATTGCAGAGTTCCGACAAATGTCTACCCGAGCCGAGGCGCAGCCGAAGGTGAGGGTTGACATCTCTAATACATAGTCAGTAATCTATGGTTGACTGTCGGAACAAGTTGCAATGACGGTTCCGCACGTGTACTGAACAACTATTTTTAATACAGTTGCGAAAAAACGAAGCAATTTAATAAGTTTTCTTCACCCATTCTGGGTAGGCAAAACATTTCAGTCAAAAAGGTTTTATGCATTACACGATAGATAATGGTATAACCATCTCGTTTACAACAGGCGTAAAATATTCACACCGGCGACTAGAAACAGCGACAATATTGCGAAATTTCTTTTCATTATTCAACATCCTTTGCGATCGGCAATTCGCCTGTCAAGCGCGACGAATAAGGCGAGAATCTAAAATGATAGATCTCTATATTCATTAATGGCCCTTTGCGAACTTATAAAGAATAAGAAGAGGAAGAATTACAAAAGATATATATTTTACTAGCATTTATTACAATATGATATTAGTATAATATAATTTAGTAAGATTTATTTACGGCTAAAACTATTTATTGTAAATGTGCCTGGTTGCTATTGGCTTAAAAGAGTTTATGAATTCAGTTCACTTATTGAAAATGCTAAAGAACCTTTTAAGTTATTAGAAGAAAGAAAAAAACACTTTATTTGATACAAATCATTGATATACAAATGTAGAGTTTATAATACGTGAATTCAACGTTAACTTTGTGTTCCTAATGTAGTCAACAAATTTAGCAAGTTAAAACTAGATGCAGGTTGGTTAAACTTGGGTATCGTCGATTTATCTGAACTATTTATAAATTGTATAAAACCGGTTACACCTAGAATTAGCCATGAATAAATTGATTATACCTTAGTATAGCCTACCGCCATCGGCTAAACCTAGTTGTAAATTTAACTCTGCTATACTTTTTTCTTTTGCCAATAAAAAAAAAAGAAAATTTGCTGTTATTGAATTGCTTTGATTATAATATTACGGAAACCTAGCATTGAAAGTGTTTTAGCATTTAGACTGCTGACATGGCTTTCTTCTGTTGTAGAATATGATATAATATGATAATGAAAGAAACTTACGAAAAATTTATATCTGTGTAAAGTCTGTTTTTTGAACACTTCCGACTTTTCACTGCGATTCGAATTCCCTGAAATGTAAATATAATATTAAATACATATTTTACAACGTTTCACTTCGTTGATCTAATTGATGACATTTTATGCGATATGCTCAAGGGATGGACACATAGATACATCTTACTATAATTTTAATTGTTGTACGAATTTTGAGATTTACAGCGCTTTATCAATCTTTATTATATTTAAATAACACATATCTTTACTATTTTTGTATGATTTGACGTATTTTTTAATACAAACACTCGATTCATACATTATAATTGTATAAAAATCTGTGTAGAATATCCGACAAAAGCTCCCATTACCTTTAATGCTTTCTAAATCCGATTTCTCTCTTATGGTTTTCTTTTGGGCACAATATTTTCTCTTCATTTTTTCGGTGCGTTGTTCTATATTTACTACAATACATGTGCTTACATTCCACACTAAAATAGGCAATTATGTTTTATTTTATTTTTTCATACAATTTTAGTAATAAAAAATTAAAATACTTACTTAGGTAGATATGTGTTGGAACAGCCAAAATTGCGTAGACTAAAGCTGAAATTCTTCCCAAAATTGTGTGAGGTACAGGTGCACCAAAACCTAAAAGTTTTTTATAAATATATCACTAAGAATTTAATTTATATTGTACAATTATATAATTCTAAATTCTTTCCTTAAAGCATACTCTCGGGGCGGGAGCTCTACTATTTTAAAATTTTTGAATAGTAATTATACTAGCACTTTTTGATCCTTAATTGCTCATGGTGTGCACTGCTCGTTAATGAATGAGGTTCTGACGACCATATGTCAGTAAGCCTGAACTTTTTAGCGTGCATGGGCACAGTAAAAAGTTTACGGTATGGGCCTACGGAGGCACGCACCTTTGCGCTCCTCAACTCGCCTTTTTCCAATTTACTCTCCGCGCTTAACGCTCTCCTGGGCATAAATCCTGAGAGCGATTTATTTACGGATGAATGAATAGTAATAGTGTCGAAATGTCTAAAGTTTTATAATGAATATTATGTTCATTCTTATTAGTTTTATCGTTAAATTAAAGTAAAAATAAATAGATAAATAAATATGCTTGTTTGTACTATTAAATACTATAGATAAATAGAAATTGCCTTTTTAATAATATGCCATCAGGCATTTAAAGGAAAAAGGTAATAATTTTCATTACACACCTCTGACATTTGTTATTCACTATCTTGTGCAGTGTAGTGTCTTAATTCACTACCCCATATCAACCGTATGGTGTCGTAAAAGTCAACAGAGTAAATAAAAAAAAATATTCTAAAACATGGTCTTACAAGTACATATACAACCGAGACTTCTTTTGACCGCGAAATGCGCCCGTATCAGAAGTAAGCCCCTCTTCTATGTCATAAGATTACTAGAGCAAGAACCACTTATCCCCTCAACAGTGTCTTTCTGTCTTTCTAAATGGCGTCATTTCCAATATTTCGTAACCGCAATGGCTTGCATTTACTGCCCGGGAGAAATAATTTACTTAATTTTTTGTTTTCTCTGAATTTAAATTTATAATATTATGGTTTATACAAATAAAATATAATAAACATATTTTTCTCCTATAATATTATAACTTATATTATATTATAGTTTGCTTTTAGCACATTAGCGAAGTATAATAGTTATTAAAGTATTTTAATAAAAAAACAAAATGGCGGAAAATGGCGAGATTAAATCGCCGCAATGGATGACAGCTACATACAATAGATATTTCGCAGCCAACTAGCTTAATCAGCCTTTCAGTAAACAGCCTAACCTTTTAACTAAATGGCGCCGTTTAACTAGTTGCTTAAATGATATTCAAACGTAACGTTCGAAAGGTCCAGCTGGGATCGCCCTTACTCCAAGCCGCACCCTAACCTACTGTTGCTGATATTACAAGATAATTGCAATGTTGTATTAGACGCAGCGGCTGAATATCATTCAGGTCCCTAATTACATAAAAAGGTTGAGCTGTTAATTGAATGGCTATTTAAACTGCTGCGACAGCTTGTACTATTTTTCATTAAAGTTTGAAAAACACCATCAAATTGTGTTATAAATCAAATCAAATTAAATCAAATATATCAAAATGCCATATTGACAGTTTTGAGAGTTTCAGCGCTAGGTGGCGGAAAGTGGAACTAAATTGAAATGCACAGGCTAGGCAAGTAATGAAAGGTCATCGATCCAAGTCATTTGCCTAGCAGTTTGATCAAATGTTTGAGTATCATTCAGACCGATAGTTGAACGGCGCTGTTTAGTAAAGAGGCTAGGCTGTTGATTGAACGGCTAATTAAGCTAGGTTGGCTGCGATATTTTACACATAGCCGTGATGGATGTTTTGACTGTTGAGTGATTATAATACAGTTAAAGCTGAGCTTAAACAACATAATTAAAAAAATGGAAAGTAAATATCGTGTTACACACACTATATGTGTGTAGTGTAAATCCATTTTATGTGTGTTGGTATGAAAGTTTTCATACATTTCCCCTCTGCACAGCCCTACAACATATATAATTTACGAAATGTCAATAAATCTGCCGTGCCGAGCCTCTGATCGAGATCTGGTAGCTTAGATGGTTAAGGTTCGCTGTAAATACAACAGGACGTGAGTAACCCGGGTTCGATCCCCGCCGGCACCAATGAAATTGTTAATTGCAATTTTAAGGGCTGATTTGCCACGTGCTCGGCGGTGAATGAAACATCGTGAGGAAACCTGCATGTATGAGGAATAAGAAAAAAAATATTTAGAAGACATGTGAAGTTCGCCAACACGCATTGGGGTTGTGCGGCTGACACTTTCTTGCCCTAAAACCCTCTCAGAAATGAGGGGAGGCCTATGCCCAGCAGTGGGACGTATATAGGCTTTAACTTTACTTTACTTTACAATAAATCTGCATATAAATACAACGAATATGTTGAAAATTGACGTGTTTTAAAATACATGATTTTTATCAATATCCTTTGAGCTCGTATTAATTGTATAAAATGGGTTTTTTTACGGCACCACCCCATATCATTATACAATAAATCAAAATAGATTGTGTCAACGCAATATAGATCTGATCAAGTAACTTTTTATTTGCAACGTGTCTTAGTGTTTTAAAAATCCACATTTTTTACGTAATCTACCAGCAAACAATTCAACATTAGACAGCTATGAAAGTCTCTGGTCCACTAAGACCTCAAGGTACTTTGATGAATTTAGTCTAGTTATAGTGGGGCAGTTGCAATTTGTGCAAAATAGCCTGCTGACAGCCGTGAATATTAATATCGCTGGGAAAGTAAGGCAGACTGTTTTTTGTGGAAAAAGTAAAGTAAAATTACAGCCTATATACGTTCCACTGCTGGGCACAGGCCTCCCCTCATTTGTGAGAGTGTTTTAGGGCAAGGAAGTATCCGCCGCGCTGCCCCAATGCGTGTTGGGGAACTTCACATTTCTTCGAAATATTTTTTTTCTTATAATGTTGAGAAGTTTTCCTATAATTTTTGAGATTGTCTGCAATACCAACATTGGTCTGTAGTTGTTGACATCCTTCTCATATCCACTCTTATGAACCGCTATTGCTAGGGATTCCTTTAACAAGGACGTAAATGTAGATTTACGAAAATGAAGATTGATAAGATGACAGTAAATTGGCACAATTTCTGCCCTTGCAATTTTTATGAAACTAGTTGGAATGTTATACCCAGCCTGGTGCACTGTTAGGTTTTAAATTCATCAGAATGGAGTGTACTTCTTCCATATCTGTACCATTGAGAGCAAAAGATGGTATCTGAGAATATGTACAAATCTTGTGCATAAATTGTCTATTGTTTAGCTGAAAAATCACATCGGCCAAGTTTTTACCCACACAACTAAAGTAGATATTAGCTTGATCGACGGAATCTCAGGCGTAAGGCCCAATTTGCAGTAAAGTAGATGGCCAAAAATGGTATGAACCTGTGCCTCAGACTATACAGAGATGAAATCTATGTCATTTGAAAGTACAGATCTTCTATATAAAGAATTAGGAAAGTCCATTTAGCTACGCAGTAGTGGACAAAAATTAGGAAGATTTAAAAAATTTGATTTTGGCAGTCGTTTTTTATCATTATCACACAATGTAGATATTAATAAAGTTCCAATTCATTAGTGTTATGTAGGTTAATACATATGCATGATAATTAGGATGTATCTTAACTGGTTTGGTAAAAAAAACAAGGAGAGCAGTTTTTTTTTAGTCTTTAAAATTATTATTTGTAACTAGTTTTTGTAACATAACTATTACTGATCGAAGTATATTAGACAGAAAATAATTAAACTTACGTATTACACTGTCTATAAATAGTGAATCACTCGCATGGGGCTACGGCACTTATTAAATAAAAGTAAAATACGATAATACACAAATACGAGGGAAAGCATATATATATCATATACCGAGAACGGCGCGTGAGTCGGTAAACGTGAATCAGATCAAGTCTGACATTGACACTTTTGACTGACTTGACTGTTTTGATGCTTGACGGACGAATTCAGTGTTGCAAGTACTAAAGTAAAATAACCCTTGAAATAATACTAGTTTTTACGGAATTTATCGCGTATATTTTAACTTTTTAAATACTCGACGTTTCGAACGCTTTACAGCACTCATGGTCACGGGCAGGACTGAGATGTTCAACGTCCATATGTCATAGTTAACCGCGGTTACCATAGATTAAAATTTAACTTTTGTTCCGATCTATGCAGTTAAAAGTTAAATTTTAATCTATGGTAACCGTGGTTAACTATGACATATGGACGTTGAACATCTCAGTCCTGCCCGTGACCATGAGTGCTGTAAAGCGTTCGAAACGTCGGGTATTTAAAAAGTTAAAATATACGCGATAAATTCCGTAAAAACTAGTATTATTTCAATGTGTAGTGTTCGCGTAAATATAAGAAATCATTATAAAATAACCCTATCCTATAATGTAACGCTACATGTTTAAGCTGTTTTTGTATTAAACAAATAAACAAAGCCATCTTTTATCCTATCCTTTAGTGTATTTTGATTATTTTGATGTATTAATTCATTAACTGAAGGCTTGTTTATATACATAACATATCATAAAGAAAGTATTTTAATAAGTTTAGCTATTGTTTTTGCCCTACTCGGATCTTTTTGAGTATTATATGGCCACATTAAAGGTGCTATAGAGTAACTTCAAAGCGAAGAAATCACTTTAAATACTTTAAACTTGATTATTTTTCAACGGCTGCTATGAAATGTTAATATTTATTCAAAATTCTTTTATTATTTAGTTTAAATTAATAGCAATAGTCTTATTTTTGTACAGCTCGGGGCACATTTTGGCCATTTGTATTATGCATTTTAGAAAGTTTCCTATAATATATGTTATTTTAGCAACATTTTTGCAAAGATTCCTCACCACTAAGGAATCACCCACCAAGACATCCAGAATTTTCTATTCGTATTTTTATTTCAAATTTCTAACAGTTTTTTGCAATAATTTCGCTATACGGTAGGAAATTTCAAGAATCTCTTCGTTGGGATTTTGACGGAGCTTTTGCTGTAGGTTATTCCTGTGCCTGATACAACGTATCACAGCTGGAGTCAGACAAGGCCTAATTACACGTTTACTCCTCTATTCATTCCTCTTTTTATTTTTCCTAACAATAATTCAGTTAATACATTACGACTCCGTGGCGCAGTGTCTTAGCAATTAGTGGCTGCTCTGGGGGCCGCGGGTTCGAATCCCGCACGAACAAATATTTGTATGGCCTACAAATAATTGTTCTAGGTCTTGATGTTCGTCCCTGTGCAATTTATATATGTAAACTGCTTCAACGATACAGGAGAAAATCCTAGTGTGTAACGTTTTAAAAAAAATACGTTCGGATTATTACATAAAAGCAATTCATTATGTTTTTATTTTTAAATGGATTAATTGTCAAAATCCATAACTAAATTGTTCAAAACTGCAACCTGAGCCACTTTATTGCGCGTAAACTTGAGCATCATATGATCCAAATAAATATCTTCCCTAGTAGGTGACCGATGTTCCATCATTACACTACGAGTACCTAGCACATCCAGATATTAAACTGGAAATTTTTTGTGGAGCCACGCTGAAGCTATATCATAGTTGTAGCACGAATGGGTCGGCTCGACTGGGGCAGGACCATGCTCTCACAGAAAACTTACGTAAATTGCAGCGTAATGCTGCTGTGTTTCGTATGGTGAGTGTAGTTCTCTACACTCACCATACGAAACACAGACCGGGGATCTGGAGACCCGTTTAACTGGAATCGATGCATTCCACCTATGTTCTCAGGGGTGAGAACGCATTTGCATTTTGATTCTTAATTGAGGATAAATGTGGCTGTCCATGGGCCACAGCATCCACTTACCATCGAGTGGACTGTGTGTTCGTTTGTCACCCAATGCTATGAAAAAGGAGATGAGTAGCAGCATCTTCCTGAAAACAACCCCATACAATAAAAATTTTCTATTGCCAACCCAGTTACAAACCCGCCTGCCAAAAGTAGAAACTGTGGCAAATATCACTTCTCTGTAGCAAACTATGTTGAGCAGTTTTTTTTTTGAAATCCTATAATAAATGAATATATTATCACTTAACATTTTATTACACCTCAGATTCCGAATCGTCTTCAAAAATGGCGAAACTAAATCCAAAAACCTATGAAGAAGATGGGTAAATTGTTCAAGATCTGCATGTCAACATAAATCAGTGTAATAATAAAAAAGCTTACAAAAATAGGGAAGAAAGGTTCTCGAGTGGCAGCCTCGTACCGGTAGGCGTAGTGTAGGGCGACCCCCCACTAGATGGAGTGACGACCTGGTAAGATATGCAGGAAGTCGATGGATGCAGGTGGCTCAGGACCGTGCTTTGTGGCATTACTTGGGGGAGGCCTATGTTCAGCAGTGGACTTGTGAAGGGCTGTAATGATGATGATGATGATTACAAAAATAACATTGAGACGGGACAATATTATATTTGTGCCATTTGCCATATAAGCCGTAAGCTTTTAGGGTCCTCTATAAAGCATCTAACAGAAATTTATCCGTTACTGGCTATCACCGTTGGTGAAAAGAGTTATGAAGCAAAGAAACGCAGCCAGCGTTCTTGGAGCTAGTTTAAGTATGATCATGTAATTAGCTTTTTATCGTTATACTTACATATTATATAATATTATGTTTATATTTTATTATTCAAACAATCTTACCTAAAGCAGTCATGACGTAAACAGAAAACAGAAAAGTTCCAGATAGGTTCCAAAATAAACCTGGGTTCGATTTGGCTCCGTTGCCCACTGCTTGCATTGTAAGTTGCCTCTCATCTTCTATACGTTTTTCTATTGCCTCACGCCATTTTGATGATAACGGTGTTATCTGTAAAAGTAATAAGAAACAATTATTTAAGTAACAAACGAGTACATACAACGATTACATACAATATTAGGATACCAATCATACAAAACGTATTATTTAATAAAACACATGTTTTTTTTTTTCTTTATTTGGATCACCAACCCAACAGATGATACACAATACTAACAAAAATATAATCCAACACGGCGACTATATGCTACGTGTTCATCTTCTTACAGGTAACCACAACTTAGTGTTATATTAATGATAACAAAATTTTAAAGAATATATTCGACAACTTTTTTATAAACAGTAGCTACTATTAAGTTAAAAGCGACAGTAGCCTAATGGCAGGGCGCGGAACGCGAACTCAAAAAGGTCGTGGGTTGTAATCCGCCATTCGACAACTGGCGTGAACGTGAACGAGTGGTTAAGGGAAATATTAGCAATATTTATAACAATGTTAATATTCTTAAAAAAAAACGAATTGAAATCTAAATTCACTTTAAAAATATATAGTACAAGTAAATTATACATCATAAAAGAAAATTCGTTGTAATTTTCTGTTCGGAAATATTATAAACTAAAATCTTCTTATTATTTTCTCCACTCAAAATTTCATAAAAATGAAAATATTCCAGTAAAAATAATTTTTTTGCAAACTGTTAATTCTCAAATATGATAAAATTATTTAGTTTTCGGAAAGCTAAGCGAGTAATGAGACAATATATGATCTTAGTCGCTAAGGAAAATAAAGACTATATCCGGTTTTAACACTGTATCTTTAACAATTATTCTATGTTCATGAATATAATTTTCTGTTATATTATCTAATGAAATTCCTGCTGAATAAAGGTTATAACTTAAAAAAAAACGAACATGGGAATTTAAGCGAACTCAAGGATAAGAAATTCTCCAGAGAATATTCAAATTTCACTTACATGAGATGTGCAAATTGCTGCGTAACATATTTTTCCTATATCAGCTCCCAGGGCGCCTTATCAAATAAATAAATTCAATGTAATTTGAGAGACCTTTTTTGTCGTTCCAATTTTTATATCAGCAGTCAGTGCTTTGGTCATGTCATACAACGATGTCGTAATGGAGCAAATAATATATATTGAATATTATTAAATATTTGTATATTGTATATATACAATATACATACATATAATATTGTCACGTACCATTCAACATTCTATATATCACACCTATATATAGGTTGTCGCACATGGTTGACATTTTTGCAAAAGCTGCAACGATTGCGTGTGCGGCTGGCAACCGCAGTGTTTAATAATTTGGAGTTATTATCTTTTTTTCATATTAGAGTCGACAAATGAGCATTCAACTCACCTGATGGTAAGTGACTACCGCCACCTATGAAGAACTGTAAGGACCATACATACATATACATAAACACTCACGCCTGTCACCCAGAGGGGTAGGCAGAGACTACAAACTTCCATTTGGCACGATCCTGACACACCTCTCTTGCCTCCTTCACATCCATACACCTACGCATACATGCTCGTCGGTTAAGGGTACTCCTAATTTGGCCCGTTTTCAATAAATCGCCAATTTGGTCGATAAATTTTCGCCTAGGACGTCCCTTTCCGACTCTGCCATTCACTTCTGCACCATAAATTTTCTTTGTCACTCTTTCCTCATTCATTCTTTCCACATGACCAAACCACCGAAGCATTCCTTTCTTAATCCTGATCAAAACATCATCTTGCAAACCACACTCTTCTCTTATTACACAATTTCTTACCCTGTCATTCAAATTCAGCCCTAACATACTCCTTAACGACCGCATTTCTACTGCGTTTATTCTACTCTCGTGCTTCTTCTGCCACACCCAACTTTCACTACCATACGTTAAAGTAGGGACCAACACAGCATTGTGAATTGCCATACGTGCCGTTTTCGACACATTTTGACTCTTCACAATAGAGTGCAAGGCCCCATTTACTCTATTTCCCGCATTCACTCGTCGTTCTATATCCTTATCATATCTCCCATCCCTGCTAAATACGCAGCCCAAATATACAAACTCATCTACTTGCTCGGTCAACTCCCCTTCTATTCTTATTTCACAAATCGTTTTACTTTCTTCTCTTTCAAAAACCATAACCTTCGTCTTACTTGCGTTCACTTTCATACCCCTTTCTTTTAATGATCCGTTCAATAATGTAACCATCATTTGCAACTCGGCTGCCGACGACGCAAGAATAACTTGATCATCGGGGTACAAAAGGCATTTGACGGTTAACTCACCCATTCTTAATCCGCATTCTTCAACTTTCAAATTTTGCAAACAACTGTCCATAAATAGGTTGAACAGCCACGGGGAAGCCACACAGCCCCGTCTGACACCTTTATGGATGTCAAACCAGTCCGATTAGACCCCGTTGATCCTAACACAAGCACTAGAGTCCCTATAAAGAGACTCCAATGCCTGTATCAAGCCAGCGCTCAACCCAAATAAGTTCAGTGTTTGCCATAGCACATCCCTATTCACTCTGTCATAGGCCTTTTCCAAGTCCATGAACGCACAAAAAACCTTTTGGTTTTTGGCCAAAAACTTCTCCGCGATCATGCGCATGGAAAAGACTTGATCTGAACATCCCATTCCCTTTCTGAATCCCGCTTGCACATCCCAAATTTTTCCATCAGTTTCTTTCATGACCCTTTCAATCAGTACCTTAGCATACAGTTTTCCCACAATGCTAAGAAGGCTGATGCCACGGTAGTTTTTACAGTCCTGCTGCGACCCTTTTCCTTTATATACTGGGACTATCACGGCTTTGCACCAGTCTACCGGTACCCGCTTCAGTTCCCAGCATAAATTAAACAAGGTGTGCAGCAGGCCTGCCACGACTTCCTCTCCAGCCTTAGCATTTATATTTTATTTCAAACTCTATCATATCCGCAGCCTTACCTGCTTTCATGCTTTTCATTGCTTTCATTATTTCATCTATACTTATCTCGCTACCTCTTTCCTCTTCTTTCGGAGTTTTTACTGCACTTAGTACACACGTTGTCTCCTCACTCATAAACACGCTTTCAAAATATTCCTTCCATCTCTTTAAACTCAAAACTTCATCTTTCAGAATATAGCCATTCTCGTCTCTTATAGCATTCATCATAGGCTGTTTTGAATGTCCCCTAGCAGTTCTTACAAGTTTCCAGAACATTTTAATATTTTCCTGGAAGTTATCCGACATTCTTCTAACATTCTTATCCGTTCTTTCTTGCTTTTTTCTTTCAACTACTTCTTTTACTCTCTTATTAATATGTCTAAAGACTGCCTTTTTTCTTTCAATATCACCATTCGTACCACTAGAATTATCAGCCTTTGTTGCTGGTAAATCTAGCCATGTTCTCTTCTTTGCTTCAACTTCCATACGTATCTCATCATCCCACCATAACGTATTATTTTTCCTTTCATTCTTTCTCTTACTAACACCACATACTTCGGTAGCTGCATCCACTAAACCTTTCTTTACATTTTGCTATATATTCTCCAGTCAAGTCTAACTCCTTCATACATAATTCATCCAAACCACTTATATTTCTTTTCAGTCTACATTTGAACTTGTTTTTATCACTTTCATTTTGTAACCTTTCTGTTCTAATACGCTGTAACGCAGTGGTAGACACCACTGAGACCATTAATTGCATAAAAAACAGAACACAACGAAGATACCACTGCGCCCCTCAATCTTTCATCCACAATTATGAAATCTATCATGCTTCTATCGTCACCTCTTTCCCAAGTATACATATGAATCCTCTTGTGGCGAAAGCAAGTGTTCGTCACAAAAAGATTCTTTTCCATACATACGGTGAGGAGACTTTCACCATTCTCATTTATACTTTCATCACCAAACGTTCCCAATATCCTTTCATAACCAAGCCTCCTGACCCCAACCCTTTCATTAAAATCTCCTAGCATAATAATATTTTCATTTCCCTTACACTTCATTAACACCATCCTTAGCTTTTCTCAAAACTGCTCTCGGATATAAGTGGGCTTAGACATGTCTGGGGCGTAGACCCCTAACACAAACAACTTCTTTAAGCCCACTTTCATTCGTATCCATAGCAGTCTTGGGCTTACACATTCATAGTCTTTCACACATTGGCCCATTCTTTCTGAAAGGATGATACCTACTCCCTGGCATGCCCGCTCGATCTCGTCTACACTAGACCAGTATGCGGTATACATGCCATGTGTAGTGACATCCTTCACATTTACTCATAACACATCTATTCCTCTATCATACATCATGTCGCATACTTCATCCATTTTATGATTCATTGCCCCACATACATTCAACGTAGCCAGACGGGCCTCTGCAATCCACTTTTCGCCTCTCCGGGAGACAGAACGTGACGGGTGGCGAACCTCGTCGCCGGTTTTCCTCCCGGAGATTCCTCGCACCCCTGCCCCATTAAAGGGGCGCCGGGAACTCGGGGTAATTTCTTTAATTCGATTCCTCATGATACGAAATGGGGTGGTATGTTTAACGCCGCTACCACGGCGTGGAGCCGAGTCTGTGGTATCGGCTTGTCGCTCATTTAGCACCACCCGGGGGACACGTGTAGGGTGGGCCTAGGAACAGGTGGTCAAAGCCTACGGACGCGAGCGACTTATCCCCTATATGTAAGGACCAATTATTTTTAAAAGACATTCGAATGTTCATAACTCGTAACAGTCCGGGATAATTGCAGGAGATAGCCGATTCCACAAAGACGTTGTGTAAGGAAGAAAAATTCAGTAAATTTCACAGTTCACAATTTCACAGCGGTGGACCGCCAATCAACCAGATGGTATTATAGATTTTATAGCGAATTTTGTTACTATGTGCGATAAAGAAATTCAACACTCTCTCTCTCTCTCTGTCTCTCCTTGGTAGACACGATTGAATATATAGGAATGCAAACGAAACCGGCTTATAAAAATTTCTTGCCACAAAACTCATTAACTGATTTTCGACACATGATCAACAGTCGCA